GAGGAGAGCGCGATAAATAAACGCCGCCCGTTGGAGGTGCTGTCAGGGCCGGGGCGAGCCCGTAACTCACTCGTTTAACCCCAGGCGCGTGTTTTGGCTTTTAATTCCAATTAACGCCGGGGATGGAAGGGGTTCAACGGGAGAGGGCTGCGAGGAAAGTGCTGGAAGGAGCCGTAATGCGTGTGAACTACGAGCTAAACCCCCCTCCAGCTCAACAGGAGAGCCCTGGGGCGATAAAGGGAAGGGGAAAAGGGGAGGGGGGGGGGGGGAATATGTGTTTCCAGCGCATCAAAAATCAAACGGGAAAGTTCAAACGGGGACCCCTCGCAGTTATCTCCCCATAGCATCTCTGGAGCTGTTATTGGCCCTGGTTCATCCCTTTTCCTTCCTAACAGGCAATACAGGAAGGTCAATCTCGCAGCCTGCTGATGTAGATCTAAGAGGGGTTACCAGCCCTCGCAGGCTCTGGATACAAAGACTTCCTCACCCTTTCCCCCCTCCCATCGCCCAGCTTTTATTGCCAGTTAAACCCTTCGTAAAGCGACTTTGGAGCCCTCTCAAAGCCCGAGCCCCTTTGCGAAGCTGCTTCGAGAGAAGCGGAGCTAAAAACAGAAATCGCATAAAATAAAGAGGGAGCTGCGAAAGGAACCGGTAAAAACTTATCAGGGGAACTTCAAAACAAATTGGACTCGAAGAACATAAAAGAAGGGGGGAGAAAGGGGGGGGGGGGGGGAAGCGCCCTGGCCTCAGATGTTCATTTGAGCCTCCAGAAACACGTTGTTGCTGGGAGTTTTATAGCCCAATAAGCAAAGTAAAGCGAATTATCCCAGCATTGAACAATGCAGCCGCCGGAGGGGGGGGGGGGGGGGGGTACCTCCTGCAGCCACATCTATAGGTGCTGGGGGGCACAGAGCGCAGGGATGAGCTCTGGGGATAGGGGAAGCGGGGGGGGGGCATTGCTTCCTTGCAGCTCTGCATCCAGCCCTGTGTCTCTCTCTGCCTGCCCGTCTGTCCCGCAGCTCCATCCCGCTGGGGAAAGCCGGGGTTCTTTTGCATCGCCATCAAATCCCTGCTTCCCCCTCCTCCTGCACCCTGTTTCTCACCTCCCAAACTCCCAGGGTCTCCTTTTTTTTTTTTTTTTTTTGCTCTGATTTGATAATTTTTTTTTTTTAAACAGATCTTTAAGTTATTTTAAGCTATTTTCATTTTTATTCGTCATTTTTGTTGCCTCAGATCGGGGTTACTTACGTGGCTGGGAGCGCTCCTGGACCAGCCGGGAGGCAGAGCATCTCTGGAGGAAAAGAAGGGAGGGAAGTTTGGCCGCCACTTCACCCTTCTCTCCCCTTGTTTCTCCCGGCTTATTTTGGCGTGGAGACAATGCCACAACACGCAGCGCATCTGCCCCCTCCCCACACAGCCCCATCCCTATGGGACCCCCCCCCCTCAAAGCCCTTCGGAACAGCCTCGGAGCCTCTAAATGGGTGTCCGCGGACCCCGGGGGGGACACGGGGGGGAGGCGACGGGTCAGAAGGGTCGGGGTCAGCCCCCACCGCTTTGCCCTCCCTGTGAACCCTCTCCGGCCTCTCCCCCCCCCCCCCCCAAACTTCCAGAAAGTTTCTTTCCATGGAGCCTCTTTCCATGGAGGCGGCCGGAGCCTAAAAGGGAGCCTGGCTCCGGCTCCTGCAGCACCAACAGCCGTTTCCTCCCTTCTTTGCCCCCCTTTTCCCCCCTACTTTTACCCTTATATCCCCTAGTTTCCCTTTCTTCCTTTCCTTTCCTCCTTTTTTCTCCTTTCCCCCTTGTTTCTCCCCCTTTTTCCTCCTTTTTCCCCTTTTTTCCTCTTCCCGCTCCCTTTTCATTTTTCCCATTTCCCCCCTTTTCCTCTTTTTTTTCCAATTCCCCCTTTTTTTCTCCTTCCCCCCTTTCCCCTCTTCCCCCTTTTTCCCTTTCCCTTTTTTCTCCTTTTTTCTCCCTCTTTTTCTCTTTTTTCTCCCTTTTTTCCCACTTCCCCCTTTTCCCCCCTTTTTCTCCCCTTCCCCTCTTCGCCACATTTTTTCCCCTTTCTCCCTTTTTCTCCCCTTTTTTCCCCTTTCTTTTTACTCTTTATTTCCCTCTTTCCTTCCTCTCCCCTTTCCTACTCTTTTCCCTTTTCCCCCTTTTTTCCCTCCTTTCTCTCCATTCCCCCCCCCCCCTTTTTTCCTACCCCCCCAGCCTTGCTCATGTAATTTCCCCTCTCCCTCTGCACCACAGCCAAAGCGGGGGGGGAGATGCGGGGTGAGGACCCTCCCGTAGGCAGGAGCCCACCCTGGGCACCCATGGGTCCTGCCACCCCCAGCACCCCCCCCCATTGGATACACTCAGCCTGGGGGTACAGCACCGCCCCCCAAAGCCCCTTCCCACAGCTCCAAACTCCAACATCCCCCATATCCAAGAGGGAGAAACCCAACCTGGAGCCATGCTCCTTCCTCCCACCCTCCTCCTCCTCCTCCTGCCTCCAGCCCAGCCCGCAGCACTGCAGATGCCCAGCTCTGCCCCTCATCCCCGAGGTGATTTTGGGGGCTGCCTTGCCTCAGCTTGGGGGCATTGGGAGGCTGGGGGGGGGGGGGGGGGAGCACCCACATCCCAGCACCTGGGGCTGCCCCTTCCCCGCGGTTTTACTGCTTTTCCCTGCTCTAAACCTCTCGTTCTCCCCTTCCTGATCCCTTTCCCCCGATCGCCCTCTTTCTGCTTTGATTTCTTGCCTATATAAGACGACATTAAAGATACCCAACTTCCCACGGGATGGGCCGAGCTTTAGGTGCTGTTTCCTGCTCGTTATTTAATTTTATTCCATTTTATTTTATTTTATTATTGTTTTTTAGTCTTACATCATCTTCTTTTATCTTACGTTCTCTTATCTTATGATTTCTTATTTTATCTTGCTTTATCTTATCTCTAGGTTAGTATTCTATTTTGCTCTATTTTCCTCTGTTTTGCTCCGTTTTACTCTACTTTGCTCTACTTCATCTTACTCTCTTTGGCTCTCGTTTACTCTATTTTACCCTATTTTGTGGTTTCAGGCCTGGGTTTTATCTGCCTTCTGCTCCTTAGCTGCACAGGCTGGGATCTCCCTTGGAAAAAGCCCAAATCCCAACTGGCTCCCAACACCTTTCCCTGCTCCGTAGAGGAGATGGAATGGTTCCGGGTCCTGTCGATATCTTTTCTCTTTCCAGCCTCATCCTTGTATTAATATCACTGAAGGAGGATGTGAAAGAGGGGAAGGGGAAAAGAAGAGGATGAGCTTTTCCATACAAACTCCTCGGGATAAATGGGAACCTTCCTCTCCCCCTCCATCCCCAGCCATCACAAAGGGGCCTGAGACCATAATCTGTTCCCTGGAAGCTTAAATCGATGGTGGAGAGGGGGAAAGCAAACAGATAAAGAGAATAAAACCCCCATAAAGATGCTGGCAAAGGCTCCCATCCAACACCTCAAGGTCCCAGGCTTGCGGGGGGGGGGCACTTCCAGCAGGCCTCCCTCTCCCAGCCTCTTTCCATAGGGATTTTTAAGCAGCGAACTTCCCAAACCAAGGCCTCATTCACCAACAAAGCAGGGAAAGCTCAAGCCCAGCGTCTCCCTCTGCACCCCCTGCCCTGCCTTGCTCAGGCATGGAGGGGGACACCCAGGTTTTACCCTAAAATCCCCCTATTGCTGGCAACGCGCAGGCCGCCTCCAAAGGCCAGGAGCAATGACTTGGGGTTATTAACGCTATTACTGCCATTATTCCCATTATTATTATTATTATTATTATTATTAAAGAGGCTTTTCATTACCGGGCAAAATTCAATGTGACTTCTTGGCTTGAATGAGTCGATGCGAGGGCACCACGACAGCAGGAGAAATAGTAATAATAATAATAGTAGTAATAATAATAATAATGATTAGCAATAATAATAATAATAATAATAATAAAACTGCAAAAACACCACGAGAAAAAGTTCAAAGAGGACCTAACCCCAACCCATTTTCTGCGGGGTGGGCAAGAAAACACAGAGACAAGCCTGGAAGCGACCCCCAATGCACAGCCCTTGCCTGAAAAGCCCCAATTCCTCCTTTTTTACCCCCATTTTTTATGTGCTGACATTCAGAAGGCAGTGGTGATGCCCTAAAAACCCTGGAGCTGAGAGTTATCTTTAGGCTTGCTTCAACTGAACTTAAGCAGCCGCTGGTGCACATGGGCTCCATTGCACATTGTCCCAGCGTTTTCTTATCCTTATTATGATGATTTTGGGGTGGGTTTGATGGGGGGGGGGGGTGTTGGGGGGGGGGGAGAGGATATAGGGGATCAAATAAGTCACCAGACATAGAAGTAAAACTAATTCACACTGACTGGTTTATTGAACACTGGGACTTCCACGTACACACTAAAACTCTTTATTGCAAGTTTACAATGAGCAGGTCAAAATGGGTCCAAAAAACCACAAATAAGCACGACAAAAAAAAGAAAAAAAAATATAATATAAATAAAGCCCTCGCTACCGACTGCTTCAAACCTTCTTCTGCTTTGATTTCTTGCCATCTGCCACTCGGGCTCTCTCGCACTGCCCTTTGCCTTCTCAGTTTGCCCAGCAAAGCCTCGTGTGCTGCTTCGTAGCGTTTTGTTTGCCCTTTATTTTCCCGTTTTCTAGCGATTTTAAAGCTTCCCCCCCCCCCCCAACACCACCTTGCTACAAAAGAACTTCCTTCGCTCATTGTGCATTTGTAATGCAGAGAAAAATAAAACGGGGGGGGGGGGGGGGAATACCTACATTTCCCTTTTGTTTTGCTGTTGGTTCGTCTGCTTTTGGCGTCCAATATTCCCATCATTTCTCCATTTCCATTCAGCCAACAGAAGATTCCCTTTTGCCTTCTTTTCCCTTCCCCATCCCCCCCAGCTCCCTCCCCATCCCCCAGCTCTTCAAAAAATAAATAAAACCCTTGAAACGGCGTTAAAAAAAACACACAAAAAAAAAAAGAAAGAACCCCGCAGGTACAGACACCTGGCCTCATGCTACCGGACATGCACCTAAAGCCCGTGGTCTTGGGGGGGGGTGGGGGGTGAGGGGACGACGACGACGACGGGACACCCGTTGGGTTTTATACGCACAGGAAAAAAATCATCATCATCATCATCATCATTCTTATTATTATCATAAGAAAAGAACTACGAGGGGGGGGGAAAAGAGGGGGGAAGGGAAAGAACCAAAATATATATATATATATATTAGATTCTATAAATAATCCAGAGTCATTTGTGTGCGGGGCTTGGGGTTGGGGTTGGGGTGAGGGGGTTTATAACCTGGTGATATCCTCCGTGCGCGGGTCCTGCGCGGCGGCCGAGGGCAGCTCATCGCCCGCGGCCGTGCTCGCCGGGGCGGTGGAGGAGGCGGCGGCGGGGGCTGCCGGTGCTGCCCGTACTTTGGTGTTGGGCAGCCTGTGGTCTTTTTTCCACTTCATCCGCCTGTTCTGAAACCAGATTTTGATCTGGCGCTCGGAGAGGCAAAGCGAGTGGGCGATCTCGATGCGCCGCCGCCGGGTCAGGTACCTGTTATAGTGAAACTCCTTCTCCAGCTCCAGAACCTGCTGCCTGGTGTAAGCTGTCCTGGATCGCTTGGGTTCGCCTCCATTGTAATTGGGGTTCACTGGAAAGGAGGGGAAGGAAAACAACAACGAAAAAAAAAAAAAAAAAAAAGAACAAAAGAAAAAAGGCAAAAAAAAAAAAAAACAAACAACAAAAGAAAGGAAAGGAAAAAAATACAAAATAAAAGGAAAAAATACAACAAAAAAATAAAAAACACACAAGGAAAATCAGCGTGGATGGAGAGAGGGGACTGGAGGAGCCGGGGGGGGGGGTGGGGAGGGAAAAAAACACAAAAGTAATAGGCTAAATAGGTAATAAAGAACTTTGGGCAGCTCAAGAGTTTCTATTCTAATAGGAAGGGGTTTCCCTGGCTCAAAAGACTGAATTATTTATGCACCCCTTACAAAGCTTTCGGAGTTTCACACATACATAACAGAGCGAGCCACATGGCTAAGGCTGCCCACAGTAGCTCGGCTATAAAATTTATGGTGGGTGTAATTACCCATTCGGAGTCGTAAATCCAGTTCAATTGTGCTAACCCAAAGCCTCTCATGGAAGGGAAGGAAATAAAAGAGAGGAAGAGAGCGAGAGGGAGCGAGCATGGTGTGAAAAGAAGAGCCGAGAGACAGAAGAGGAAAATAAAAGTTGCATACCAGTACTGACGTGGATTTTTTTCATCCAGGGATAGACTATGGGCTGTTTGGATGCTGTGCTGGTGGGATGCTCGGGGTTTGGCTGGCTGCAGGCTGGAGGGGCTGGGGAAGGAGTGGTGGAGGAGGAGGAGGACAAGGCAGCTTGCTCGCAGAGCTGCTGCGCTTTCTCTGAGAGGTGCTGCCCTCCTGGAGCTGGCCCCGGTCCCCTTTGGAGCGTGGCCGGGTTGCCGGGTGCCTGGAGCCCCCCGCAGCCGAAGGGCCGGTCGGGGAAGGAGGGTCGCGGTACCGGGTACAGCTCCGGGTGGTGCTGGTAGCTGGGCTCCCTGCCCCGGCTATAATACTCCGGACTGTGGTCTGGGATGTAATTATTTTGCGAATATTCCTCGCATGGAGGAAATTTCGGATCGATGTAGTTAGAGTCCATCAAATAAGAGCTCATGATCATTAATTTCTGGAGTGGAAAATAATTTTTCTCGCTTTGTCGTTTTTCTGCTCCATAAAGCCCTCCTACTAGCTGGCGACCCCGTAAAGTTACTTTCACCATGTGACAGCCGCGGCCAATCACACCCGCCAGCCCAGGCCCCGGATTAGGAACCAAAAGCTCCTGCAAAATGCACCCAAATTGGGGGGGGGGGCTTGGTTGGGGTGGGGGGGGGGGTGGGGAGGAATGATGATGATGATGGGACCATGGGAACGGGAGATGCGCATCAATGCGGCCATCACCGCGCCTCTGGGTGGCTGGGGGGGGGATATGCACGCCATAGGGGAGACACCCCTAGGGAGGGAGGGGGGGGGTGTAAGGGTGAGGGGAGGGGGTAAGGGTTAGTGTGGAAGGGGGGTGAACGGGGGGGGCACTGGGCATCCCCCCGCCATCTGAGCTGGGAACAATGAGCCCCCCCCCCCCCCCCCCGGTGTAAGTGTGTGCATGGAGGTGTGCCCCCCCCTCCCAGCTGCATTGACCCTTCAGACCCCCCCCCCAGACTCTTCCCCCAGTAGCCCCCCATCTGCCCCCCAATACTGGGGAGGGGGCCAGGGTACGTTGGGCCCCCCCCCTCCCCAACCTGAACCCTCCCATCCCGGAGGGGAGAGGGTTAAACAGCAGCAGCACCTATTTGGGAGGTAGGGGGGGCGTTACCTGGAAGGTAGAGGCAGGTTTGCCCCCCCCTTCTCCCTGCCTACAACCAGCGGTAAAGGCAGGGCGAATCTGGGGCTCCCCCCATAGACAACGAGGACACCCCCAAAATGCCCCCGCTTTGCTTAGCCCCGGCCTTAAAGCAAAGCAGGAGGGATTGGGGGGGGTGTCTATGATTTTGGGGGGTGGGGGCAGCACCCTGCATCTTCCTCACCCTGGTGCTGTAGGTGAGGTACCCATGGGGTGCCATGGCCAGGCGTGTGCAGCACCCCAGGCCGCTTGACCCTTGCTTTGGGCATTGACCTCCCCATCCTCAAGCTCGGGCGCGGGTAGGGGCGTATATATCTATATTTATATATGAAATTACATATATACACACAAAAATCCATATATATGGGGGGTATATACATATTTATATATGAAATTACATATAGATACACAAACCCCCATATATCTAGGCACTATAGAGCCGTATAGATGTGATTTGGGGTTAAAGCTAGAGGGACACGTTAAAAATGGCTCTCAGCACCCCAGCCCAGGTCGAGGAGCTGCAGATGGATGTCACCACTTTGGGCGGCTTTTCAGCTGCCTCAATTAGAGCTTCCCTTCTGATTTCTCCATCTCCATCTCGCCCTAAAGAGAGGGGCAGAGGAGGGAGGTGGGGTATTCCCTCCTTGTGCTTGATAACAATTATAGCTGAAAATCATAGCTTGCAGGGCATTGCCATATTTTACTTGATAACAATAAAAGTGACACATAAAGTTAACTGTTTATGTTTTATTTATTAGACTAAATGTGCCAGCGGTGTCGAAGGCTTTTGGCTGGTTGTTACAGCTTTTTATGGGGTTGTAAAACGCCATAAATCAGTCACCGCGAAATGGTCGGGGCTCTTTGTGCTCTTGGCTCAGAGTTGTGTTTGCGGTGGCTGCTGCTTCTTCTGGAGAGGAAAAGTAGTAATGGGGGTTTATTTGGATGATTATCAGCCCCCCCCCCCCCCAATCATTTGCTTTTTCCCTTTTTTCCCCTCTTTTTTACCCCTTTATTTTTCTTCCCCATCTTCTTTCTATTATTGTTATTATTATTACTATTGCTATTATTATGACTATTATTATTATCAAGCCCTGGCAAAGATCAAACCCCGCGCTTCCACTTTCTCTCCCCCCCCCTCCCCCCCCCTTAGCAAGTGCCATCAGGAGGATTTAATTAGGAGCGCCGCAATTAAGAGGAAAGCAGAACTTTCCAAGGCTCTGGCATCGCCCATATATTCCCCTAGAGACGAATTTGTGACTGGGAGACGCTCACACAAATTCGAGTCTACAGGGTACATATAGGCGACGGGGAGGGTTGCGGGGGGGGGGACCCCCCTGGACACCAGCTCCGCATCCCTGGGGGGACCCTAGGTGGGGGTTTGGGCTTAAATTGGCCTTTTTTAGGCCTTTTTTTTTGGGGGGGGGGAGGTTTATTGAGGGATTTGCAGGGCTTGGCTAATTGCTGGCCCCATTCACGGGCAGAGCCTGCTCCTTCCTAAAGTTGTAAATCCCGGTTTTACCTATAGAACCGCCTGTATATATCCCCCTATACAAAGTCAAACCCTTCCTCTTCCCCCTGAGCTTTTGGGATAGGGAGTGAAGGCGGATGGGAGCTGGTTGGGGCAAAAAACCAACACGCCTCCGTGCTTAGAAACGTATTCCGGAGCCCAAAGCATTGATTTCAATAGATCCAATAAATTCCTTTTCTCCAGCTATACTTCATCCTGCCCCAACACCTCAAGAGTCATGCAGGGCTTTGACATTTATAGTTGAGCCTGATGCAACAACTTTATTCCAAGGCTGAGGGAATATTGAATAAAGATGGAGAGTTAATAAAGTAATTTTTACCTACGCACATCCTTCCTTCTCTCCCCCCCTCCCTAAAATATATGGGTTTCAATAAGCACCAGTAGAATAAATAAATATCCACAGGTAGCTCTCTTAAAGCTATGCTAGATGTTTAAAAATATATATTATTATTAGAAGAAGAAAAGGGAAATAAAGCACGAAACAAACAGGCACCAATCCAAGCACTGAATAATCCCAGGCGTGAAGGTCACAAACGGGGCGGCTCTGGACTCTCGCTTTCTTAACGGGGGAAACTCAACTTTATCCCCCCCCCCTTCCCCTTTGCACCCCCTGGTTCCCACCTCGATAAATCTAATTTTAAGGACTCGCTGCTCCATCCTCTCCTCCTGCGGTTGGTTTATGGGGGGGGGGGCGTTTCTTAAAACAAGCAAAAAACCCTAAAAATCAGACAGAAATCCTCCGGATTTCTTACAAACGCACCCCCAAAAAATGCCTATTTTCCTCTTTTTATTGTTTTTGCCTTCATATTTCCCCCCTCCCTTCTCCTTTTAACCAGAGTCAACCGGTGCCTCCCGTTAAAGTGGATTTTGTATTTATTTAACGCAATTTCCCCCCCCTATTTTTTTGTCTTTTTCCCTGTAAAATAAGTCTGCAGGGACGTGTGAAGAATAGTTGTACAAGAATCTGGCTCTTTTGTCTATAAAGCAGCCCTCCCACCGCTCTCCATCCCTCGTCCCCCCACCACCGTGCCGAGAAACACTTTGGGGAGGGACAAAACCCAAGGAAACGCAGCACCTCGGCAGCGAAAAATGCAGCAAAAAAAAATAACCCAAACCAGGCAGAAAAACTGGGGGAAAAAAAAACATGAAAATTGACTCATTTCGGGCTTTATTTCCTTCTCCTACCTAGGGCGAGGGTGGGAAATAGAGAAGTGGTTAGTGTCGCGGGGGGATTTGGAAGTACAAAGCGCCTTTTTGACAGTACTGAAGAAAAATCAGGATGCATTGTCTCTCCGGATTCATTGTGCTGGCTATTACCATACTGACCGTTTGGTAACCTGTACCGCGGCCCATTAGCAATCTGTGCTCTCCAGCAAAAAATGAAGTACCTATCTACTGGGGGTTGGTTATCCCGTGTTCCCTAAGAATAGGGAAAGCGAAGGGGAAAAGCTCGCCGAGGGTGAACCCTGCCTCTTTGGGATGCGGGAGGTGGCGATCAAATTGGGAGCGGAGTTTTATTGCGAGCTGGGTTTAAGGTGATGATCTAAAGAGAACTAACACACACACACACCATGTCTATATTTGCTATTTAAACAGTTGCGTTCTCCCTACCACAATCAACGCCAGATAACGCTTGAAACCCCCATTTTTTAGCTCCCAACTCGAAAGCGGCGAGGGCGAAGAAGCCCTTTGGCTTTTTGTCCCTTCCGAACGCAAGCAGCAGACAAGGTCTAAGCCATGCAAAGGGATATGCAAATGGTTAATTGATTTTTGTGCTCCCCCCCCCCCCCAACCCCTTTAAATCTGTTGTCAGTAGAAGTAATGAATCGACCTCAAACGATTTTAATAAGCAAGGGCTGTCACCCAAACTCCTGGCCTGCCCATTTTTCTTTGGAGCCTCTTTGCTCTCGACCGAACCAATAACGTAAATATTTATCCCTTCGTTTTAACGCCTGCAAAGACGAATCCCTCCGCTTTGCCACCAAACAGCAACTAAAATATGCAAACCAGGTTCTCCCATCCCCTCCCCCTTTTTCTTCCACCCCCACCACCCCCCCCCCCCAGGAATTCAATTTTCCTCGAATCTCGTTGAAAGTGGCTTTTTAAAAAGTGCCCGCATTTTAATATTGGTGAGACAGCGTGACCTGAATTTCACCTCAACTGTTTGACTTGATCCAATAGGTCACTGCCAAGGAGTTATTGATGGGGGAACTCCATTGAAATTTCTCTCCTCACAAATGGCCTTTAGATCTTCTAGCGAGTTCAATAACTAGTTATAATGTAGAAGGGGAAAAATGAAGCCCAGAGGCAAACTAATTTGATGTTTCATTTTTATGCCGGAGAAATTGTTGGTTTTTGTTCCTCTCGGCCCCGTCGCCAAAGGAGAGGGGGACCAAAAAAGAAAGGGAAGGAGGTCGGAGCGAAGCCCCCTCCTCGCCGAGGCTTCGCCGGGCTACAAATGAGCCCAGATCTTAGTCCTCGTTTAATTGGTATCGGCGCATCAGCCCCAGAGCTCCTCGGGACTCGGTGGAGCAGGAGCTCAGCAAGGGTGAAACTTGCTGTTTGGTAGGAAAGACACCTTTTTTCCTCCCTTTTTAATCATTTTTTTCAATTATTATAATTATTTTATTTTTTCCCTTTATTTTTTCCTTTTTCTTTATTTTCCCTTTTTCTTCATTTTCTTTATCTTTTTTCTCTTATTTCCTTTTATCCTTTTCCCCTTTCCCTTTTTGCCTCCCCCCCCCCAACCCTTGTATCAGAAAGCGATCGTTTAAACCAAATCCACCAGTAACCAAGTGACACCGCTCCCCTCTCCATCTCCTCCTGCGCTTTAACAGGACCCCGCAGCTCTGCTCCCCATAAACCCCCCCAAAAACAGACACCCCCTTCCCCTTTTATTCCTCAGATCACCCCAGTTCGTGTGACCGCATCTGGGCTCTTCCCTCATTTGTTGGCCTTGGGGAGGGTTTTCTCCCTGTTATTTCCTTCGAATCCATTTTATTCCGGGCTTAAAATCTTTGTTTGAGCTCGGGAGGGGGTTCTAGGAGTAGGGGGGGGGCTCTTGGAGGCAGAGGAGAACCCGGCTGGAGGATGCTTTTAAGTGATGTATATACAGGAGCTAAGGTTTCTCCTTGACTTTTCATAGACAAAGACGACTTTTACACTGACCCACCGGGTAATTGCTGAACCCTGGGTTAAGTTGAAAAGAAAACATTGGGCTTGGATTGGGGAAAGGGCGTGTTTTGGGGGGGGGGGGGGGGGAAGAGAAAGTGAAAGTTGAAGGAGAAAGTGTCCAAGGGTTGCAAAGGGCCCATTAGCAGATCTAGAGATGTTATTGTATGGGGTGGAAACATACACAAACTTGAGCCCGAGCCCTCCTGTTGGAGAGAGCTTCTGCTTTCAGCGGTGCTTAATGCTCTTACCCCATGGAAATCTTCCTTGGGGATGACAATATGAACGATTAACATCATCGTGTGTGTGTCGTCGTCCCCCCCGCCCCAGACCCCTTCTGGTTGTAAATCCACTTCTGGGCTCCATAATCCTTCTGGATGGCTTAGGCCGGGAGAAGGGGATGGGAAAAGTTTCTGTGTAGGGACGGGGAATAAAAATGAAGTGGTTTTTCCCAAAAAAAAGGAGTTCATCCAGCCCCAACTGGAGGGGTTTAGGGGGGAGTTTGGGGAAAGAGAAGCCCTGGCCCGCTGTTGCTGCAGAAGGAACGTGGCAAAGGTGGCTCAGCCTTAACTCGTAGGGATGCAGAGCTGCGGGCCTGGCTCCAAAGTGGGGTGGAAGGGGATAAACCAAGGGGAAACTCCCCTTTCTCGGTGCATTTTGAGTCCTCCCAAGCGAAGACTAAGCCCAGGTTTTATCGCGCTGCGCTCAGCCCTTTTTTAACACCCTTTGCAACCCTCTGGGTACACCTCGGATCAACACCCAGCTCTCATTTAAACCTTCGGGTGTGCCTTCCTCTGGATGCAGGGCAATGAAAAGTGGGCTAAAGAGGGATGGAGAAGGGGGTGACACGCGTGAGGAGGTGGAGGTAAGAGAGGGGTCCTGCCCCTATGGGGCCTGGCAGCATCACATGGAGGGCAGATCCCAGCCCCGCAGCAGATGTGGAAGGGACTGGATGAAGGGCAGGATGATTTAAAGGCCCGGTTTTATCGCCTCTCGGGCCGTGTTTTAAACTCTCCCGCTGTGTAAACACGCTCTTCAAACCCGACACGACCCAGATGCGCGCAGCTCCGCGCCCATGGGCGCAATCCAGCCCTGACAGCAGCCGGGCGGGGGAATGGGGCTTTACCTAGGGGTAACTCTGCTCCAGGGAAGGGGAAAGAGGGATGGGGAGGGATGTCCCCTCCGCACCCGCAATCTGGCAAACCCCT